TTACCCCTCCCCACATGTATCCATTAATATCTATCAGTCATCTATCTATCGTCTGTCTACCTGTCTGTCATCTATCATTCTCTCTGGTGGTGAGCAGTGTTAGAGGCCAAGATCCAGATGCTCTAGGTGGATGCAGTGTGGGGTCTGGAAGCTTATTGACCTTGGGACCAATTTGGTAAAGATTCTTTTTACTCACTATTCAACCCTGGACAACTCAAGGGACTTCTCTGAGCTATATGTCTATTTGTTTTTTTTTTTTTTAATTTATTTATTCATGAGAGACAGAGGGAGAGAGGCAGAGGGAGAAGCAGGCCCCCCAAGGAGCAGAGAGCCCGATGCGGGACTCGATCCCAGGACCCTGGGATCATGACCTGAGCCGAAGGCAGACGCTTAACCATCTGAGCCACCCAGGCACCCTATATGTCTATTTGTAAATGAGAATAATGATACCTGCCTTCCACCTCAGAGGGTGGCTATAAGAATCAAGATCATTGATGCACGCATACATGTTTTGTTGTTGAGGGCCCACACTCTAAACATTACTACATTGGGTTCAGGACAAGACACAAGGTGTGTTCCCGTGTAGGAGTTCATATCATGGGAAGTAAGTGTGAAGGTAATGAGACGCAGGCTAATGGGAGGAGGAGGAGTTGGCTTCCTCTGGGAGACACTGGAGGAGTAGACACCTACATGTGACAGGTTAAGAAGAATGGTTATGAGTGAGAGATCAAGGATGGAGAGAGGAAGCATCTCAGAAGCACCAAGGAAAAACAAATGTGCTGAGAGCATCAGAGAAATCAAGAAGTATGGCCAATTTGGGAGGCTTGAGAACCTGAAAGATCATCTTGACCCAGTGGAGGACACAATCAGTATTGTATGAGAGGCAGAATTATATACCCTACAGATGGAATGAATGCACAACAAAATGTTCTTTAATTCTGACTGTTCTTACCTTGTTCCAAATTCCCACTGATGTTGGGATGGGCGGTACTGTCTGTTTTGGGTAAATGCCCACTCTCCCAGGAATTTTCCCCCTTTCCTTGCAGGAGGGCCTATGTGTTCTCAGGGCTGGAGGAGGGGTTCTTCCACGGGTGCCTGATATGGTAGACCAGTGGCCTTGTTTCTGCACCTCTGGCACTGGCCTTGCTTGGGGTGTGGTAGCCCCCGATGGGCTGTGCTGACACCTTGCAAAAGCCTTGGTCCCTGCCTTGCGTTCTGGTCACAGGGCCCCACCACTGCCTCCTGCTCTCGAGACCGCTTCTGACCACACCTGCCCTCAGCACCTGCACCTGCCTATGTTCTGAGGCGTCTGGGAGGGGGCGGGGACTGTGGGACACTTCAGCTGCCCTCCCCACCTCCTGCCGGGACACCCCTTCTGCCAGGACCCCCTTGCACACACAGCGCACACTTCCTGGCACTGTTTTTGCCAGTGGCTTCCCTGGGTTTTCCTGGCTCGGCTCTGAGTGGAAGAACCAAATCTCCCGTGTTGGAAGCTGAGCAGATAAGAAGCTCAGAAACCTATTGATTTAGTGAAGGGAAGCCTTAAGGCTTTGTGGTTAGAAGAGAGTGAAATTGCTCAAAACTAAATACTTTCCAAAAGAGAAAAGTAAGCTTTGAATACATGACTCTGAGGTCCTTCTGGTCCTTCTGCCGAGACTAGATGAGTGACTCTGGGGACCACATCTGCTAGGGTGGAGGGTCAGGCCCACATCCCATAAGGCCATTGTTAACTGGTACCTATGAGGAAACTCACCATTTGCCGTATCCCAATTTATGTGTATTTTAAAAGCCTGGATGTTAGAATTCAATAAAACATCTGCTTTCTCTTCCCTCCTAAAAAAAGCCTGGGGTGTTAGAGAATGCTTTAAGTCATTTGCCCACTCACAGCTGTGTGTTGGGGGGATTAGCAGGTGCTCACAGGAATGCCCTTCGGGACCTGAACCCTGGCCTTGCACTTCATCCGTAGAGCACATCTCCTGTGGTTGTGTTCTGAGTTCCTACAAGCACCCAGCAGCCTGGCCCCTCGGTGCCCGAATACTCAGGGAACCCTGGAGCACAGATGCTCAGTGCATCGTGTCACACAAGACTGCATTAGTTTCCCAGGCTGTGGAGTAGAATTCCTAATATGTGTGTGGCCTACTTCTCAAGGTGCTCATAAAGATAAAAATCAAATATGAGCCATGTACATGGATGTGAAGTGCTGCCTTAGGGATGTGCCCCACCCAGCCCCACTGCCGGCTTCAGCTTCCCGGGTGGACAGGGCAATGCAGGCTCTGGCCCCAGGATGGGTCAGCGGCGTCTGGGCCGCTAGTTTGCCCATGCCGTTTCTGGCCCTTCCTATTTCAACCATAACCAACCTATCCAATGAGATGGATTCATTTGAGTAAATTCCCCTTATGCCTGTGGCTTTGTAAGACCCTGGCAGTCCTCGGTCCTTTTCTGGTGAGGATCACTTTTCCAGAGAGCAAAGACCCAGTGCCATGGGATAGCAAAACTCCCAGCTGCTTAATTTAAAAGGTCTCACTACCCTCCCCTGCCCTAGCCCAGTCCTGCACCAGGCCCTGAACCTGGGGCCGGGAGCTGTGCACAGCACGGTAGGGTAAGAGTCTCCTCTCCCACAGGCTTGCCTCCACACCCCCTCACCACTGCAGCTTGGGCATCCTCCAGGTCAGAGGGAGGGGGCAGGGAAGAAAGCCCTACTTACTGGCCCAGCACGGGCTGCCTGTGAGGTCCGCAGGCCTCCCCTGCTCCCGCCATCCTCGAGACCCTTCAGCTGTAGCCCTTTGGATGCAAAGGATGCCTCTCAGGATTCCTGCGGCTTCCACAGGTTTCGCTTCGACTGGGATTATCTTTCCTCTCCAGACTGTCCTCCCGAAAGAAAGATTTTGAAGATGGTCCATGGGAGTCGACAGCTGGCTAATGGGAATAAAAACGCACCCTGCCAGCCAGATGCAGCCTCACCGTCAGACTTCCCAGGCATCAGAGTCACTCCTGCTTCCTTTGGAGGACACAGGCCAAGCTCCCCAAATGGATCTTGAGGTGCTTCACTTGGGTTGAGGGAGGGGAAGCACCCCCTAGCTCCCTGGTGGAGAAGGGCGGCGTTGGGCACAGTGGGGTCTCTCCTCTGAGTCCTGCCCTGCTGGCCTCCTTCTCTAACTCAACTTGGAACAGAGCCTTTGGGGTCACTCCCTTGGCATATCCTCTGTCAATGGCCTAGCACCTCACTTTGAAATGTGGGGTACTTTTCATACCTTTCTGGCCTTTGAGTTTAAATGCTGACATAACTGGCTGAGTCGCCTTTGATGTTCTTTACCTAGCTCTCAGCTGAGCTTGGCCCAGAGGCCTTCAGAAGAATCTGAAGAGGGTCTGTCCCTTGGGAATCCCCCAGAGTTAAGGAAGTCTGGTGGTGGTGTGTAAGATGTATCTGGAAAGATGTGATTTTGTAAACAGAGCATATTCTTTCAAGCAATTACATGCTCACAGCAGAACTGAGTGGGAAGGATAGAGTTCCCATGTTCCCTTCACCTTTGCACCCAGTGTTCTTTTTTCCCCTTTAACATTATTTTTATTGAATCATAAATGTACAATAGCTTCTTAACTCTACACATGCACCTACATTTTTTTAAAGGAAAAATCTTATGTCTTTGATGGGGATTGCATTGAATGTGTAGATTGCTCTAGGTAGCATGGACATCTTCACAATATTTGTTCTTCCAATCCATGAGCATGGAACGTTTT